TCAATCTGTTTCATAGATTCCATTTCTTTCCCATGTTGGATGTTTATAGTTTCCATCATTTTCCTAAACTCCTCTATTTTTTACCTCTTTCTGCTTTAGAGTCACTATGTCCTTCATTATGGGCACCATCCTTGTAGTTATCTGAGAAATTATTTCTGATTTGATTTTCTCTAAAGCCTCATCCATCTGCTTTGTTACTCCGCTGCTACCACTTCAGAGAGTCCGTGTGGATGGCTGTCTACTTTTTCTACCTCATTCCTCTCTGTGTTTGTGACTGGTGAGCTGGAAGTCTGGGGTTGCATCTTGCTTCTATGTGTTCTCACTTTCTATGGTTCTTTTTAGTTTAATTTCTGGGATGATGCTTGTAAATTGTTTATGGCAGTTAGCTTTATTGCTAGCATTTAGAACCCTTGGGAAATGACTACTTCTCATAGATGTCTTCCATGTATAGCTGGGTTTTGGGTTTTGAGTCTGTTACAAGATCCTATCTCTTCAATTTATCAAAAATGAGAGGTTGCTGTCTATTTGGCCTAGCCCCTTGTACATTGGCACTGGCCTGTAGTCTTGTTTATGACCCTTAAGCAATCTCAGTCTTGGTATACCAGGAAAAACAACTCATCAGAACAATTATATCACCTTGGCTAAAGTAGTACAACCTGTAACAAAATAGCATCAAACAGTCTAGAAAATGGCAATCTGTGGTAAATATTAATTTTCCACCTTTAACCATATGAACTATATTTGTGGTTATATAACAAAATCTAAAACAGACCAGGGGCTGGGGATTTAGTTTAGTGGCACAGCGCCTGCCTGGCAAGCTCGAGGTCATGAGTTCAATTCCTGGTACTGTGAAAAAAACAATAAAAAATAAAAAAATTTTAAAAATAAAACAAACCAGAAAATTGTAAACAGTAAATATACCCTCAAGATGATGATTTTACCCTCACTGGAGAAAATTTAAAAGTGGCCAGGGAAAAAAGAGAGGAACAGAAGAGGAAGAGATCAGGAGCAAGACTGGTGGGCAAAGGAAAATTACACAAATTTGGGGAAACTGGTGAAGAAGACAGGAGGAAAAGAAAAAGGAGACATAAAAACAAGAACAGAACAGAACAGATCAGAACAACAAGAAAACAAGAAACAATTTTCACAGCCATATAAAACCAGAACAGACAATCAAGAAAAAAAGAAAAGGGTGTGTCTCTGCTGGCTCTGGTAGACAATGTGGGCAGACAGAGCCCACATCCATGTTGATTAATCCCAGCCATAGATTTAATGTGGGGTATTGGATAGTCCCACCAAGCTTACACCTTTAGTTCCACGAAGTTCAGGCTTGTTTCTGGCTTAAGGCTTGACCCCAGTTTGTTCAACTTACAGTATATGTTCCTCCTGCTGGCCTGAACTTGGCTCCTTGACTTCCTGCTGCCTTAAACTCAGTATCACCTCAACCTGACACAGGTAGGTACCAGATGGAGCCAGTCTACAACTGTTCTGAGTTCTGAGCTCAGTTGGTCCCTCTCCAAGATTGCTACTGGCCTAGCCCCTCTCCTGGGGGATGTCTGAGGCCAAGAGACTCAATAGCCACTGCAGCCCACTGTGTCCACGGTTCCATTCCACTGTTGCACTTCTCTGCAGAGGCTTCTGGGGTCACCAGCACTCACCGTGCACCTGCGGGTTGGAGCCGCCCCTCCCATGCAGTGAGTCAGGGCTCAGGGAAAAGGCACCACTTGCCTCCTCCTCCTTTTCTATCTGGCTCCCTCTTCATTCTCCCTGTGGGCTTCAGTTCTCCCGTCAGATCCCCAGGGCCCACTTCCCTTCTTCCTCACATTGCTATATTCCAGTGTCTATGCACTAAATCTCGGAGAGGCTGTTTCCCTGCTGCTCACCACTTCCACCATCTTCCTGGAAGTCTGTTCCTTTCTGAAAATTTCTCAGAATACATCCTTAGGTCATTTCATTTCTTTTCTCATGTAGACCCTCATTGCTATAAACTTTCTGTTTAGTACTACATGCTTTTGCTGTATCTCATAGATTTTGGCCTGTTATGTTAACATTTTCATTTGTTTTAAGGAATTTTGTGTTCTCTCCTGATTTCTTCGATGATCCACTATTCATTCAAGTGTGTTGCTCAGTCTTCGCCTTTTTGTATATTTTTTAAGATTTTTCTTGCTGCTGACTTTCAGTTTCATGTCATTACATCAGAGAAGACAGGATATTATTTTATTTTTCTTAATTTGTGACCTAATATACAATCTATTTTAGAGCAAAGTCCATGCTCTGATTAAAATAAAATTGTATTCTGCAGCTATTGGATGAAAGTTTCTGAAATATCTATTAACTCTATTTGATCTGTAGCTTAATGTTGCTTTGGGGTTTTTTGTTTTGTACTGTATTAGTTTGTTTGTTTGTTCTAGATGATATGTCCATTAATGATAATGGAATGGTAAAGTTTTTGACTATTGTTGTATTACAATATATCTTTCTCTTTAGGTCTAACAATTGTTGTTTTATAAAATTGGGTACTCTGATATTGAGTGCAGATAAATTTATAGTCATTGTATCTTCTTGATTACTTGATTCTATGATCATCATACAGTGACCTTCTTGATCTCTTCTTACTGTTTTTGTCTTATTCTATTTGATGAGAGTAAGTATACCTACTTCTGCTCTCTTGAATTTTACTTGTTTGGTATGTCATTTTCCATCACTTCACTTTTAATTGGTGTGTTTTCACTGATAATCTTCCTTCTGCTTCATCTAATCTGTTGAGGCTTTCAACTGAAAAATTTTTTTCAACTGAAATTTTTATCTGATTTACATAGCTCTTCATTTCTAAGATTTCTGATGGTTCTTTTTCAAAAATCTCCCTTTACTGTATTGCTCATTCATATCCATCATTGTTGTCCTAATTCCATTTAACTATTTATATTCTCTTGGATCTCAATTTCATATATATATATATATATATATATATGATAAAAATGCCATATGTAATGTATATATATGGCATTTTTATCAGGCATTTTATTCACTTTAACATCTTTGAAATTTGCTGCTGAAGAGTTATAAACTTTAGGAGGTATCATAGTACCTTGTTGTTAAGGTCTATATCCAGATGCCTACCAAAATCATCATACACTCACATGTAGGTTTTTGGAAGGTGATTAGCTAATGGGGGCGATATAACTGACTTCTTGTTAGGAGATGGGGTCTGGGCAGAAGAGGTAGGCCTATGAGGGCATGACACTGAAGGGTGTATTTCTCTCCCCAGCTCCCTTTTACAGTCTCTGTGTCCTGGCTACTATGATGTGAGCACCTCTCCTCCGCCCAAGCCCTTCCACCATGCAGTTTTTAACATGGACTGAAACTTGTGAAATGTGGACCAAAATAAACCTCCCCGTCTTCAGTTTGTTGGTATTGTCAGTTATTGAGTCCCAATAATTAAGACACATGTTTTTCATTTTTCTTCTGTTCCTATGACATTTGTACATCTGATGAAATGGATGTGGGGACCAGATATCCAATGGGATACCCACCTCTGAAAGTAGGTTTCTCCTAAAGATGTGTCCTGGGTTATCAATTTGCTGTATAGCGTAGGGTTTATTTCCAGATGGTGATTATAGTGCAACCTCCCACTAGCTTTTTTGGCTATTACAGTATTAGTGAGTCTGCACACAGGGCACACCATGTCAGAATAGGAGAAACCTAGTGTCTCTGTAGGTCACAAAGAATGGTTAACAGGAACCACTCTGTAGAGCTCAATGGTTCGTGCCAAGGTTACTCCACTGAACCAAGCCCAGCTCCTGAGGCAGGCACCCACAGAGCCAGTGTAGTGCAAGCCTATGGGGTCCCAGAGATGGGAACAGGCCAGGGCTTCTGACCCCAAAGAAGTCCAAATTCAAATAATAGTCCCCTCTCAAGAGGGCTCCTGGCTGTAACACCCTAGGGATTTACTGGTAGATGAAGTGGATTCATTTTCCAAAGCCAGACTACTGTGCGGATTTCAGGCCTCTTATTTATTTATAAGTCTGAATGGGCTGTGATCATCACTATCTGAGCTGACAGAAGTTGCTGGACTCTATCTTTTACCTTTATCACTGAAGGAGACTATGGAGTCAGACAGGCAGGAGATGGGGGATTGGGGTTTTTTGTTTTTTTGATGCTGTTGTTCCAGGTCTGTGGATGTTACAAGGTTTCTATTTCTTTACTCCTGAGCCCCAGTGTTGTTCCACAGTCACTCACGTCAGTCATACCCCAGCTGTTTTGGTTTTTTGTGGGGAAGGTGAAGTACTAGGTCCTCCTACTTAGCCATCTTTCAAATCTTTCCACTTTTTCCTCATCCTTGTTTAGTGCCCTCAGTTAACAAGTCAAAACGTCTGAATTGAGTACACTTATAGATCCAGGGGTCCCTATTAATGCCTACAAAACAGCATCATTGGTAAATCCACCAATCTGAACAGGTTGCCCAGGCTACTTTGGTCATCCATGGACTAAAGATGAATGCAAAAAGCCCATATATGACACTTTGGGAAAATTCTCCAAAAATTACTATTTACTAGACAGATTGCTTTTGAATTCTCCTGCTCTGAAATGAGACATCATTCATAAACCATTAACTCAGAGATGTCTCCAACTTATAATACTGAAATAAATTTAGAGGAATATAGGTAAAATGTCTATATCCATCTCTTTGAGTTCTGACTTTGATTGACACTTTCATTTACCCATGATATGTGCCACTCTCACTAGACCTTTAACCTCCAATACAATTTAGAAAAAATACTTTAATTAGCAATAGAAGCAATCAAAACCAACAGGCAGAAAGAAATGGGGATATCAGGGCTAGGAGTGTATAATTTAGCAACAAAAGTAGACACACTGGCCCCCAGCACACGGGCAGCCTTGGGCGGGGAGCGCCAGTCTTCGGACTGGTGGCTCACTCCCGGCCCCATAGGCCCCCGGAAGGAGGGCTTCCGGCGCACAAGGAGCCACAGGTGGGGAGCGCCGGTCTTCCAGCTGGCTAGCTTCCTGCCTCGTAGGCTCCCGGAGGGAGGGCCCCCAGTGCATGGGGATCCATGCAGCGGTGAGTGCTGTTGCGCGCTGGCCCTTAGGCCGGCCACCGCTGCTCAGTTGAGATCTATTATGACACAGAGAAACAGTGACACAATTGGCCCATCATGCATCGACTGCAGTTGCCCACCCACAGATGTGTGTGAATCATTCAAACTTTGAACAACCCCTGGGAATACATGCCATACAATGGGCCACTGTTGTTTTTGCCATTGAGAACCAGAAAGGTCCAGAGCCAGCGGAGGAGCAGCTGCTGAACAAGGACTCCGAGAACATGAGAATGCAGACTAAGCCCAAGGAGTCAGAGGTCCAGTGGACTTGGGTCACGAGAGCTGCTCAGAAGCTGTAAAGCAGGAGGACCTTGCACAATGCCTGCAGAGACTCACTGGAAGCCATTCTTCCCCTGACAGTACAGGCTGTGGTGGAGCTCCGGAGAAGTCTGCAGCAGGATTCCTGCTGCCTGTGCTGACAGTTGGGGAGAGGACACTAACTGGTTGTGGGGTGTCAATGTGATGGGAGGCTGGAGAGAAAACGCTACAAAAAATGGCTTTTGCACCAGACGACTCACTTGATTTTTGACAACCCTTAGGCTGTAACTACTTGTTAGATCCTTCTTGTGTATCTCTGTCTTCCTGAGAAACCACTTTGAAGATACCACCATGTATTACAGCAGTCATTGATATTTTCCTACTAATCTATCCATAACTCTGTAATGTTTGTATTGTTCCTATCTTATTTCATAAATGGATCCATGTTTATTATTATGTGTTTCCTACAACAACCATTGAGAATTATTGAATGATTATTCAATAGGTCACTCATGTATAGTTCTATTTATATTCTTTAGAAGCCACTTTGAAGATACCTAAGTATAGTACAACAACTATTGATAATCTCCTACCTTTTGTCTGTAACTCACTATTATTTGTCTATTTGTTTTCCTGAGAAACTATCTTATAGATAACAATATGTAAAACAATAACCATTGATAATTTCCTACCACTTTGTCTGTAATTTGGTAAGCCCCTCCTATTATTATGTTATCCTTCTTTTACTCTTTAAAATAAATTAAAAAAAAAAAGTAGACACACTTAAGTCTTTGTTAAAATTTCTCGTGGTTCCCCCCATACAGAAAAGAAACCAGTGCAAACATTCCTGGAAAAATGAAAATTTAGGTTACTGAAAAGGTCATCTGATCTCACGGTCTATGAAAGGAATGAAATGAGAATTTGGAACCACATCAATGTTAACTGACCCTGACTATTAATTGACAAAATCAGCTAACCTCCAACTGACTCAGTTTGGCAAATAAGATTTAGCAACTGTATCAGTTATACTATTTAGTCAGTAGTTTTTTTTAAAAAAAAGTTTATGGAGCTTTTTTTTTAATCAATAAGCTGGTTTAAAATGCTGAGTTGAAGCTGAGTGCAGTGGCACAAGCCTATAATCTCAGCACTCAGGAGGTTGAGGCAGGAGGATCACCTTGAGTTTGAGGCCAGCCTGAGCTACACAGTGAGTCCAAAGCCAGCCTGAACTACACCCTGAAACACTATCTCAAAATAAATAAATTAAATTAAATTAAATGCTGAGTTGATGGAAGTTCTGCCCTCAAATATACTGGGCCTTCCTCCAATGCCTTTTTAAGATCACATTTTCTAGATACTTGTCAGATTAACCCAGTTAAAACGGATTAACTCCTTTCTAATCAGAATTCATATTTATTAGAATCACTGATATTTCCCTTGTCTTACTGTATGTTTTACAATTATATTTTCATTCCTTGAAGGCAGGAGTCATGTCTTTTTAAATTTTTCATAGCTATGTATATAAGGAGGCACCCAATATATTAATTGGAAGGACAACTTCAATTTTTCTGTCATGTGCTATTATGTAGAAAGGTGTCCAAACCTCCTAATGTTGAGGAGGGCTTGATAACAATCCAAACTTTTCTTAAATTTTATTTGCAGTGCATTTGCTTTCCCATCTATACTGTAATCAAGCTAACCTTAAAAAGCTTGATGCCCAGAATACGAATAACTGCCAAAGAAAGGAAAATATACCGCAAGAATGCAGAAAGAGTTGCAAGAATGAGTGATTCTGGAATTAAAACTCTGCCTGAAGAGCTTTAGTCTATGTTCCCTGGGGAAGACATTACTAAGGAGATTTCCATCAAGATTCTACTGGACAGTGTGTGACCTCAGAAGCAGCCAGGAAGGGATAAAGAATGAAGGACTGGGGAGAAGACATTGAATCCTCATATAAAAATAGAGGTCTCAGCTGATTCCGTGTGGACTAGAATTGACCCTAGAGCGGTTCTAAACAGAGGCAAGGTAACCCAGAGTATTTGGTACATCACCTAGTCCTTGCACAAAGGAGATTTCCATGCAGGAAGCACAGGCTTGGACAGAGGAGCTCCCTTGGGCTGAGCACAGTCCTTAGAGAAGGGCATGAGCAAAGGCTGTCAGCACCCTAGGGTCAGCGTTCTAGGCCAGTGCTCTAGGGTACTGAGAGAATGGGTGCCTCAGCTTGAGACAGAGGGTCTGGGTGGTACGCCCCAGTGTCTCTTACACAAGCTAATCTGCAAAGTAAAGAAGCTACATGTACAGCCAATGAACTGTACATATATAAACAAAGCTATGCTAGTATTTAACCAAGAAAGCTGAGTCACTAAGTCATGAACATGTTTTAAATTATTTGAGGAAGTTACTGAGAATGTTAGGTATCTAAACTTCTATCATTTCTTCTGCCAAACATCAGTCATAAAGGAAACATCACTATACATGATGATCAAATTAAATGAAATTAGGAAAGAAATGTCTATGTATGAAAATGCTACAATGAAACCCAATATCCCAAATAATTAATATGTACTAATAAATACAGCAATGTGGGGACAAAAACAAGAATGTCTGAATCCACTGCTTTCCCCAAAAGACTGGTGGAAACATACACTCTCTTTACTCAGCCTCTTGATAGATTAGCAATATCACCCGCAATGAGACGACATAACGTTATAGTTATAGATACAGGTCCTGCCCAGCACACAATAAATTCCCTTTAATGGCAGTATGAGTTTAATATAAAGGACTCTGTAACCCTGATTGGTTTATGAATATTCCTAAGCGCAAATGCCTACCTCATAAGAAGGCTACTATCTGCGCCTGATATGAAGTCATTACCCACACAAAACACTTAACATATTTGTCTCATGAAAAATGAGTTTGTTTAGATGAGAAATGAACCGGGTTTTCCCAATTATTATCACTCAAACATGCTTAAATGAACTCATAAGTATATTAACCATGATTTTGAAAACCACTAAAAAATTCTTAGCCTGAGACTTAAACACTAAAAATAACAATTCTATAATCACAAGTATATTACACAAATGGAAATACTATCGACTAGATGTTAGGCAGGAATAATATCATAGATGTGCAATAGAAAAGTAGTTAAAAGTAGAAGCCCTTGGGGGGAAATCTGTCATAACCTCTTTTTTTGGTATGTAAACTCTTAGCACAAAGTTCATTAACTTTTCTGATCTTTGCTTTTCTTATTTGTAATTAATAATAGCACCAACCTTATTAAGATTGTGGTGCTATTACATAAGGTTACACATAGAACATGCTTAACAGAATGTTTTATATATTCAAGTAATGAATAAATGCCAAGTAATAAAAATAATATATTGAAAGATGGATTATAAATTTATAAAATTATATTCAAGTGAGATAGTTAATAAATCTCTTCAGTGAAATGCATTCCGTGGAGGAGAAACAAAATAAATAATAATAGAAGTTTAGGTTGCAAAACTTCCTAAGCCTCCACAGTATTATGAAACAAGCCTCAACTGCCCTAATTCAACATATTCTTGTATCGTGGATTCAAACTTTTAAGCTTATGATTCTGCCAAGTGATTTTGAAAAAAACAATATAACCCTTCGCATATTTCAATTTATTTTTATTATGGGCTTTTAATTTTTCTTGGAAATATTTATAAATTTCATGAAATAAAATACATGAGGCCTGATTAAGTGAAGTAAATATTTCATAATATGATTTCATGAATAAGTATTGAATAATGCATACCTCGTCCATCTCAGAAACAATCATTGCCTCTGTAAGAATTAGTTTCCTTATTATTCCTTATTAGTTTCCTTATTATTTCTACAAGACTGCGTCAGTACTATATATGTGACTAGTTCTTCATAGTAACCCAAGAAAACCTTACACCTTCGTCTCTGCTGACGAATTTTATCTCTGAATAATCATTAGTTTGGAGAACTACCGCTCTGGAATCTTGGCGGCCCCTACGGAGACATCAAGGGGAAGATGGCAGAAATTCAGCAGGAGGTAAGCTGTTGGGAACCTGATTCTCCCATTTTTAGAGGAGAAAACCTTGAGAGAGTTGTATAAAAAGGCTTCTAGATTTTTTTCCCCCAGGTGTTCACTTTCTGGTTTAACTCAGCCAACCACTGAAAGCTCTTTTCTTTGAAGGAACTTTTTTTATTCAGTTCTTAAGAAAATGGAAGGATGATAATTTCCCACATGGGTCATGAACAGAAAGTACTATCACTGCATTTGCACCCTATTCAGTGGGGTCGGTGGGGGTTTGCAGGTATTTTTTAAGTGTTACAACTACTGAAATGGAGAAAGGTAATTTTCTCTTTCCATAAGATCATCGGCTCTGGGGTTGTAGAGGAAATATTGACAGAATCTGAAACTTAATTGATTGTTATCAAAAGATTATACAGATAGCTCAAAAAACTGTTAGGTAACATTCACACCCACCAGTTCCCCTTAACCAATATCCTGGAAAGAAATGAAATTTACCTTGTATTTTCAACAAAAGAAGGGTCACAGAATTCTTGAGCTATTTTCAAACAATTTGAAAATATCTAGTCCATCCTATTTTTAGATACCAAGAAAAGAAATCATGAAATATTTTAAATATTATCTTTTAAAGTCTATCATTATCGTATTATCATTGTAAATAAAACAAAAACAAATGATATACTACAGAAAGTAAATGGCAAATAGAAGAAGAATCTCCCCTGCAGCATACCTACTGCTAAGGTAGAAATTAAGGATTTTTTTTCTACAGCCACACTACAAAGTGCTGGTATAGCAGAAACTATTATAAAAACGCCAGGCACATTATTTACCATAAAAGGTTAGCTGTGATGTGTTAGATCTGTCTCATCCAATGAAATGAAGTTATTACATTCTGGGAAATTGAATTGTTTAGCTTAGAGCCTAAGTTTCATACGTCTTAGTCTTCATACTGTTCAGGTACTTGAGCCTGTTCTACAGCTAAAGCCACTCCCCTGACTTTTGACCAGATTTTTCAAGGATATGTATTAGTTACCAAAGTAACTCAGTAAGGAGAGTGCAAATGGTTCAACAGAAATCCTTCACCACGGCTGGAAAGGCACCCCAAAACACAGACGCTGTTAATCAGTGGAAGGATCTAGGCTCACAGAACAATAGGTCTAGAAAAGACCTTTGAGATCATCCCAGAGAAACCTTCAATTTGTATATAACAGAATTTAGAATTAGAAAAGTGATATAATTTGCCCAAGGTAAACAGCAGAGTTTAAAGTTTGATCATTCTGCATCACGTTCCCCACCAAGAAAATGAATATACACTATATCCTGTCCTACTTGCCTCACAGGGCGGTGGTGGAGTTTAAAACTGACATAGATTAATGTACTGATTTAAAGCCATCTAAACAGTGCACTTAACTGTAAGGCAATATTATTTGAGGAGTAGTATGGTGTCTTAGCAAGAGAAACTGAACAAAAGTCCTAGCTTAACTGTTTTTTAAGATGTTTCAGCCAACTCACTTAACATCTCTAACCCTGAGCTGCTTTTTTCATTACTGGTCTATGTTTGTGATAAAGAATGAACATATTTATCTGGAGTATTAGCACATACACGTATCCAATCTTCATCCCCTTCCCAGCTCCTCCCTCCCATCTTCCTACCTCCAGATCTTCTTCCTTAACTTCAGAAAAGAGAAAATGATGAGCTACTTTGCCAGTGTCACATGGTTTCAAAGACTAATGAGGCAGACAGGATGTGGTAAAGGCCTTAGTAAACCAATATGCTATGGCAGTGAAAACCAAATATAGCTAGTTCTACACGTGGCTCGATTACACAGTGTTGAAAAAGTACACAGATATAGAGCTACACATGCATCTTGCCACTGTCTGGTGATTTCTTCTATTTTAGCCATAGTGTATAAGTGTGTTATTTCCTTATGGTTTTGGTTTGTATTTCCCTAATGACTAAAGACGTTGAGCATCTTTTCATGCTCTGAGTGACTACTTCTATGTCTTCTCTGAAGAAATGCTATTCAATTCTTTCCCCCTCCCCTGTTCTAACTATATTTTTTTGTCATGAAAGTTTTCATAAATTATAAATATAAATTCCTTATCAAAACAATAATTTGCAAACATCTACTCCTACCCCATTGTGATTTTTTTTTTACCTTCTGCCATTTACCCTGGGCAAATTATATAACCTCTAATTCTAAATTCTGTTATATGCAAATTGAAGGTTTCTCTGAGTTGATCTCAAAGGTCTTTTCTAGACCTATTGTTCTGTGATCCTATATCCTTCCACTGATTAATAGCATCTGTGTTTTAGGGTCATCTGAAGCAGAAGATTTTTAATTTTGATGAACTCCCATTTTTTCTCCTCTGTAACTTGTGCTTAATGTGTTTTTTCTAAATTCTGCATGCATTCAAATACATATTTACAATACAGAGAGGGTTAAAACTAGTCCAAGGACCACGGGCTACTTGTCCCAAGCTGTTCTTGACAAATTGGATCTTGATTAGACATATGAAACAGAGCAGAACCCCACCATATGTGAATAAAATGAATTTTCAGCCTCCTCACCATTCTACCTGTTTTACTCCCACACTCCATCCTTAGCTTTTGCGAATGTTCTTTTTGGAAGATTCCAACATGATCTTAGCTAAAGTAAAATGCAACTCTTCTACCAAGACATATTGAGAAATCATCAAGACGTTCTCAATGATCAAGTGTCTATATGCTATACCTTCAGCTAAAAAGTTCAGAAAGTATGGGTGCAGGAGGAACAGAACTAAGGAGTCTCACAACTATTCTTTGCTTTTTCTTGGGTGAGCACCAGAATGACAAGAAATGACAACTAAGAGCTTAAGAGGAGAATCAGAAAACTGCAAGGATTCAGAAAGACATAATGATCTTTGCTCATTTTGCAAAGGAGTAGATTGTTCTCCATACCTAAAAGAGGGTACGAGTTGTTATTATGAGCCAGTGCTTTTCCAGAGTAACTACAAGTTAGCATTATATCCAACTAAAAGGACACTAGGGGCATCTTAGAATTAAAACTACCACAACACATAACTGATAGAGAAATATTTAGGCCCAGTTCCCTACTCATAGAAAAGAATAACTGATTGGTCCAGGTGAACAAATTATCACCTCTGCTCCAATCAAAGTGTACCTCATACAGCATAAGCATGATTCCTAGAGCAAGAAAAGCTGGAATGTATTTCAAATGAGAACAGCTTATAGAAATATCACTAGCTAAGGGGAGGAATAGTGCTCCTCTATCAGGTCACTTGACCTTTAGCTGGTCCTCAGCATCCTCACAGCCGATCTTCACAATTAATAAATCTGTCTCATTAAGAATGAATGGGGACCACAGGTGGTGGCACATGCCTGTAATCCCAGGTCTCAGGAGACTGAGGCAGGAGGATTGCCATGGGTTCGAGGCCAGCCTGGGCTGCAAAGTGAGTTCAAGACCAGCCTGGACTGCAAAATCCTGTGTCAGAAAGACAAAAACACAAAGACAAAAAAAAAAAAAAAAAATCAATGGGGCGTTGGGTTCAATCTTGAGAAAGAGATAGAGGAAAGGAAAGAGGGAGGGAAGGAGAGGGGCAGGCAGAGAGTGATGGGATGGGGAGAGAAGAAAGGAGAGGGAGAGCGAGAGAAGAAAATTCCTCAGGAGAAGCTTTCTGAAGTCAAGAATTTAAAGTCTGGTTTTGAAGAAAAGGATAAATTAGCAGAAAAAATGGAGACCTCACCCAGTTCAGGTCTGGAGAGAGAGCTGCTAACACTGCTAGCGAGCTGGCGGACCGGATCAGCAGTCATCTGAATGCTGGCGACATCTCAGTCCATGCCACAGATCAGTTTGTGAGGCTCCTGGATGTGCAGTTCAGGAACTTGACCCCAGGTGGAAAAGACAGCGCCGCTCACAGTCTGAACAAGGCAATGGTTGGAGCACTTAACAACCTCCTTCAGCCACAAGCTTTGACTGCATAGAGACTTGAATATAAGCGATCAACTCGAGACAGCCACCATGTTACTTGACACTGAGGAGGACGGCGCTTTTGTGCTGGCTGATGACTTTCCGAACTGACATCATCAGGGAGAACACAGACAATATTCAATTAGAAGTCGCAAGGCTGAGCACACAAAGAAACTTAGAAGACCTAAAATTTCCAGAAAACATGGCCCATGGAAGCACTATCCAGCTCTCTGCAAATACTTCAAAGCAAAACGGCTGAGACAGAGAGATCAGAGTGGACTTGTTCCATGTAACAAAGGTCCCTTTTGTCCACAGACAACGTGAGTATGAAGTTGTATGGAGTTGAGAAGCTATGCCCCAAATCATTCCATTACCGTCAATTCACCTGTTATAACAGCAGCAATCAACAAAGAATTCAGTAATAAGGTTTACACAGCTGACCCTGTAGTATTTACCATTAAACATATCAAGTGGTCAGAGGAAAATGTCAACCCTACCTTTTCAACCCTACCAAGCACATCATGAAATTGGTCAGAGCAAAGCTGCTGGCTTCTGTCAACAAACATGACACACACTTCTTGCTCTTGTAACCACCTGACCAATTTTGCAGGACTGACGGAGCATGCAGCAGTTAACCACGACCTTCTTCTGGATGTGATCTCCCAGAGCTGGAATTTTGCTGTCGCTTGTCTGTCTCCTGATTTGCACCTTCATGTGTTGCCTTTTCCATGAGCTCCAGAATAACTGTCACACCATTTGCAAGAACCTCTTTGTAGCAAAGCTGCTCTTCCCAATTGAAGTAAATGGACAGACCACCCATTGCCTGTGCTGTTTTTGCTGCCCTCTTACATTTCTTCTTCCTGGCCACCTCCGTGTGGGAGTTCCTGGAAGACATGCAGCTCTGCATCACGCCGGTGGAGGTTTGGAGAACCAACACTCTCTTAGGAAGTACTTTTATCTACAGAACGCCTGCGCTCATGGTGACTGTGTCAGCTACAGTGGACAGCAGGACTCACAGAAGAGACAAAGCGTATTGGCCCCAACTTGATATCTACTTCATTTTGGAGTTTGTACTACCAGTGACCTTGATAATTATGCTTCATGTGATCTTTCTGGGAAATACTTTACGTAAAATGATTCATCACACTGCCGTACTGAAACCCGAATCAGGCTGTCTTGACAATATCAAGCCATGGGTTACAGATGCCATCGCTCTTCTCTGCTTGTTAGGGTTGACCCTGGGCCTTTGGAAATTAACGATGAAGTGGAGGGGAATTCTAAAACTATATGTCAAATGTGTGTCTTACAATTTGCTGTATTAGCTGATGACAAAACTAATGGCAGAAAAAAAATTGAGCAATTTCTATGTACTGCACAGCTGCTGGCACTGCACATGCAGTCTGCTTCCTGTTCTCCAGAATCTGAGTCGTGTTACTGGGGGAAAGAAAGGTTTTTTTTCTTTCATGCTAATCTTGCGAGTTTATCTGTCAGTAAAAGAGCAAAGGTTTTCCTTTCTTCATTTTCTTTTCCCTTCCCTTTTCTTTAAAATTTTACTTAGCAAGAAAATAAATGACTGAATAAATAAATAAATGAAACTTTAAAAAATCAATGGGATTTTATCTGTCATTGTAAAAAAAAATAATAAGTAAATAAGATTTTTTGGAAAGAATCATTTTGTTTTTTAAAGTTTTGTATACACACACACATACACATCCCTTAGAGCAGTTAAAGTACCCCTGCAACCTACAAAATCAAAGACTTTTTAGCAAATTCATACATATCATAGTTCTTTCTCTAAACAAATAAACTCTTTCATGATGCCAATTACCTAAATCTTGAGAAAATTTTGTATTGTAAAGTTATACTACATTTAACTTTTTCTTTTTTTAATGAGTAGGAAGAATTTTTGAAAAGAAGAAAAGCTCTATCTAAGAGAGACAGAAGGGGTCCAGAGAGTGGGTTCCCCACTTTAACTTTTCCAAGTAAAACAGTTTCAAATTATATTTTCAACCAGGAACATGGATAGATGGGTCAAAACAGGAAGTTGGACGAGTAAACTTGAAACCAGTGAAACTACAGAAGATAATGAGGGAAATTCAGAAAAATCTGAAATTGTCCACAGATGTGACAGTTATGGAATGGTTCCTAAGCTTTGCCATATGAATCTGATAGCAGAACACATGATTGCAATATCCCGCCAAACAAGCAGCAAATCAACAGAGGGCAACCACAGGCCATTCTCATACGCTGATGGAACGGATTTTCCTCAGTATTTTGGAGATTTCATAAAGTTTTATGACTTTTGTTCGAGAAATACTATAAAAATAACTGTATAAGACCATGATGCTAGCAGAATTTTTGAAAAGTTAACCATCCAAAATTTAAGTGCCTCAGACAAGCACAGTCCAAAAAAGCCAAATAAAATTTTATAGATGTTTTCCTCAAAAGCAGTTTTATAACCCCCTTACTAAGTGCAGCTTACATACTACTGGAAACTAGAGGGAGGCACAAGAAGGAAGATTTAAAAATCATTCTAAATAATTCATTTTCATAGTTCAAAAAGCATGAACAACTGTTTGAGAGAGTAAAGTTTGGATAAATGAAGATTTTTTTATCTTGCATTTGAAATAGAACATCAATATTAATAATTTAGTCATTTCCTTGTTCTTTGCTTGCTATACTTATAGTGATATAGTTAATGATAAAATGATGAGTGAAGAAAATTTCTCTGAGCTATTGGCATGTGTTCAAATCTAATACACACGAGGCTGCAGGAGGAGTGACAATCACAGCCCAAATTATCACACATTGTGAATGCCAAGCAAAATAGCCAAAATTTACCAAAATCATCAGCCTCCTGATTTCAAAACATGTTCAGTGGAGCAGTCGACACTCTAGATTATATTTTTAACTGTGTTTTGAATACTATTCTTTTTAGAAACATTCATGATGAAATCAAACTTTTTCAGCCACATAGATATATGCCGTATTAACTAGAAGAAAGGGCTGATGAGGGTTAAACTATTTTTCATCTTGAAGAAATTTTTTGATCACACTTAATTTGTTTAA